TTCATGCACACCCCCCAAAGAAGTATGATTAGCTGAACTAGTTAGTTTTTATAAGAAGAGAATAACCTAAACTGAAGTAGGTTAAACATACTAAAGCTTGCTTTAAAATACGAAATTGTATGTTAGCCTGATTATAACCACACCTTCACAGAATTGGAGTCCTTGAGGATAGAAGGACCTCTTGAGATAATCTCATCCAGTCCCACTACTCAAAGCAGGGGCAGCTGGAGCAGGTTGCCCAGGACAATGTCCAGGCACATTTTGAATATCTCCAAGGATGACAGCCACTCTGGTCAACCTGTTCCAGGTTTTGACCACCCTCACTGTAAAAAAAGTGACAGTTTATCACCTTTTTTTTTTGTGAACATCGTCCTATGTTCAGATGGAATTTCATTTATTTCAATTTATACCCATGGCCTTTTGTCCTTTCAGTAGGCACCACCGAGAAGGGTCTTGCTCCATCTCCTTCATTCCCTCCCATTGGGTATTTATACACATTGATAAGGTCGCTCTGGAGCCTTCTCTTCTCCAGGCTGAACAGTCCCAGCTCTCTCAGCCTCTCCAGTATATCCCTGTCTCTCTGGTAATGGGGAGCCCAGAAGTGAACTTGGCACTCCAGGGGTGCCAGTGCTGAGTGGAGGGGAAGGATCACCTCCCTTGACCTGCTGGCAATGCTTTTCCCAAAGCAGCCCACAAGGTTGTTGGCCCAAGGGCACATTGCTGGCTCATGTTCAGCTTTTTGTCCAGCAGGACCCCAGGTGCTTCTCTGCCAAGCTGCTTTCCATCTGGTCACCTGCCCCCTCCCACCCCTCCAGTGTGTACTGGTGCCTGGGCTTATTCCTCCCCAGGTGCAGGCCTTTGCATTTCCTTTGATTGAACTTCATGAGGTTCCTGTTTGCCCATTTCTCCAGCCTGCTGAGGTCCCTCTGAATGGCAGCACCCCCATCTGGTGTATCAGTCCCTCCTTCCAGATTTGTGTCCTCTCTAATCTTGCTGAGAGTGCACTCTGCCCCGATGTTCTGGTCATTAATAAAGATGTTAGAGAGTATAGGACCTAGTATTGACCCCTGGAGTATACCACTAGCGACTGGCCTCCAACTGGACTTTGTGCCACTGGTCAAAATCATCTGGGCCCAACCATTCAGCTGGTTTTCAGTCCATTTCACTGTACACCTATGTAACCCATGCTTCATCTGCTTGTCTATGAGGCTGTTACAGGAGACAGTGTCAAAAGGCTTACTGATGTTGAGATAAACAACATCCATTGCTCCCCCTTCATCTGCCAAGCTAGTAATTTCATCATAGGTGGCTATCAGGCTGGTTAAGCAACATTTCCATTTCATATATCCATGCGGACTAGTCCTTGTCACCTTCTTGTCCTTCATATGTCTGGAAGTGGTTTCCAGGATTAGTAGCTCCATCACCTTCTGTGGGATTGAGGTGAGGCGGACTAGCCTGTAGTTTTCCAGATCTGATCTCTTGCCCTCTTGAAGATATGAGTGCCATTTGCTCTCTTCCCATCTTGAGGAGCCTCTCCCAATAGCCAGGACCTTTCAAAAATAAATGAGTGCCATCACAGTAGAATCAACCAGCTCCCTTAGCAGTTGGTGCATCCTATCAGGCCCCATGGTCTTATGTATCTCCAGTGTGTTTAGGTGCCCCCTAACCTGATTGTCCTCCACTGAGGGCAAGTCAGCCTTGCTCCAAATTTTGGTTTCGGGGCGTGGGATTCCTGAAAACTGGTCTTAACTGGTAAATACTGACACAAAGAAGACATTGAGTATCTCAGACTTTTCCATGTCCTTTTGTCACCAGGGCCCCTGCCCCATTTAGCAGTGGCCCATGTTTTCCCTAGTCTTCCTTTTGCTGTTTGTGTACTTGTAGAATCTTTCTTGTTGCCCTTCACATCACTTGCCAGATTTAACACCAGGTAGGCTTTGGCTTTCCTGACCTCATCCCTGCATAATTGCACAGTATCTCTATGTTCCTCCTGGGTTATCTGCCCCTGCTTTCACTCAGACGCTTTCTCTTCATGTCTGAGTTGAGTCAGGAGCTCCTTGTTCATCCATGCAGGCTTCCTGCTGCCTTTGCTTGATATTCTACTTGTCAGAATGGACCATTCTTGAGCTCAGAGGAGATGGTCCTTGAATATCAACCAGCTCTCTTGGGCCCCTCTTCTCTCCAGGGCTGTATCCCATGGGACTCTTCCAAGCAGATCCCTGAAAAGGCTAAAGTCTGCTCTCTGGAAGTCCAGGGTTGTGTTACTGCTTTCTGTGCTGCTCTCTCGGGATCCTGAATTTCACCAGCTTATTATGGTCATTGCAGCCAACACCCCAACCTTCACATCCCCAACTAGTTCCTCCTTGTTTGTAAGTACCTGATCCAGCCAAGTACCTCTCCTTGTTGACCTCTCAACCACCTGTGTCAGGAAGTTGTCATCAATGCACTTCAGAACCTTCCTGGATAGCTTGTGCCCTGCTGTGTTGTCCCGCCAGCAGGTATCACAGTGGTTAAAGTCCCCTGTAAGGACTAGGGCCTGTGAATGTTAGGTTTCTTCCAGTTGTCCAAAGAAGCCTTGTCTGCTTTTTTTTTTTATCCTGATCCAGGCAATCTATAGCAGATGCCCACAGATTATTGGAGGAAAAGAGTTGTTCTGGTTGCAGTTGTTTTTGCTGATGTCCATATTTATGTCTCTGCTGTGGATCACTATCAGAGTTAAAGTATAGAGCAGTTTAACCATAGGGTTAATGAAGTGTGTAGGGAAGTCAGTATCTAATGTGAGTTACCGTCTATTTTGGCATAGGACTACAGTAAAGTTTGTTTTCTAACCTGTCTTTTGCTGGACTGTTAAAATGCTAAACTATAATAAATAATTTTGTGGGTTTTGTTTGTTAGATCATAAAAAGTTAACCTTTCAAAGTTCTGTTACATAGTTCCTGATGTTTTTCCAGCTATGTTGAGATTTTGATTTATTCTTCTCCTGCATGTGAGAAACAAGGCTATTTACTGATTATTGTTTTTCTTACAACCAGAGTTTAAAATTGTTTATTTTCATCTCAAGCAAGTAACTATTCTTTGGACATCTTTCTGTGGTGTTTTAACAGCACAGTAACATTAATACGTACTGAAGTTAGTATACTACTAAAAGGATATATGCTTTGTCTTAGAACCTTGCATTCAAAACATAATTGAGGTTTTGTTGAACATTTGGTTACTCATTTTGTCTTAGGAGATTCCTAAGTCATTGCAGTTGTTTTACGAGTAGATACTTTTGGTCATTCTTTTTGTACAGTTTTAAAGGCAGAACTCAAGTATGGCAATACATTCAGCATTAGCACTTACTGTCTTTTCAAGGTTTTTTATTATCCTTGTTTTGATCATATTTTTTTGTTTTAAATGATGGGGGGATTTCTTGTTACAAAAGTTGTTGTTACAAGTTGTTACAAAGTTTTCCCACAAGTATTGAAATGTATTAAAAGCTGTAAGAGCTGTGCATGAATTTTGTTCTTCTTTGTATGCAGGATTTAGCAATGTAAGCAACTGTAAGCAAACAGAAAGGCTGCACACCTCAGAGTAGCAGGAATCTCTTACTGTTTTACATGTTGTTATCACTTTGTATTTGATAGCAAATGCTATCAAAGAGTAAAACTACTGATTATCATCTTCTCTAAGAAACAAATTAACTTATTTTTAGGTTTTGGTGGAAACCAGACCTTTATTTATGTAGCTTATTCTGGTTTCTTTTAATTTTTTAGACAACAATTATACGTTGAGTTTTTAAATTTAAAACTGCGTTGCATTTGAATTTGGTTTAAATTATATAAAAGCTTCAAATTTGTTTTGAAAAGTTAAATTTCAGTTCAAAATGACTCCATTCAAATAGCTTCTTCTAAAATAATTACATGTATGAATGTCCATAATTTAACTTTTGTCTTGAATTTAAGTAGGGTTGAACTGACTTCAATTTTATATCTTTTGTGGACACAGTCTGTGTGTTTTACTTCTTTGAAGATAATGTTCAAAGAGGAGGATTTAGATTGATAAAGGAAATCTACAGGAAGGCTTTATGAATGTTGGTCAGAATACTTTAAAAATTAAATAACATTTTCTTCACATGGTGTTATATCTTTTCTTTTGGAAAAAGTTTATTAATAAAAAGTTGAAAATAAATGAGAAAATATACTCAGGAAGATTCCCTGTGTAAAAATGGTCATCTCCTTGCAGAGTTTAGTTCTTGAAAGGTGCTTAAAAAGTCCTGAGCATGCAGAATTTCTTCTCTTAATATTGTGATATGTATTTCAAAGCTTTCCAATGACAGCTGGAGCTTTTTGCAAACCAGCTGGAGTTACAGAGGGCCCACAATAACATGAAGGTGCCTAAATTCCTTTGAGCAGTCAGAGCCTTTTCCATGGTTATCTAAGATTTTATCAGAAAAAGAAAAATACACTGCAAAATAGTTGTATATTGTATTTAACTGTTACGTTCAGAGGGTCTTTGTGATTAAAATGATCAATATTCTTATATTTAAAAATAGTCTTAAACAATGGGGATGAGAGATAATGCTATTACTTTTGGCAAAAAAGGTTTTTAAAGGTTATTTAGTATTGTGCATAATATCCTGGATTTTTTAAACAATATTAATAAGACAATTTTAATTAAATGGTTTCATGCTGCTATTAAACTAACCTTGAAGTATGTATCTTAATCATGTTTGTATCTTGTCTCAACATCCATTTATGTTTAAATGAAAAATTCATATAATTTCCATGTTAGAAACTGTACATTCTAGGTTTTAGAACATCAAAATATCTATAGTCATACTATAAACTGAAAACAATTTTTTTAGCACTGTGGCCTGTGATTTTTTTTTTTTTGCCCACTTTTTAAAAAATATTTCTTTCCCATGCTTGTTTATATGCATTGTTCATTTGTTAGCATTCTTTCATAGTTTTTAATATCTCAGCATTTTTATCAAATTTATCATTTTCATATTTTTAAAGGTCCCCAGGTGCATCCAATTTTTCAACTTTACCAAAGATCTCTCCATCTCTATCAAATAATTATAACAACATGAACAACAGAAAGTAAGCAATATACCTTAAAACATTATTCAATTTAATCGCCCCAGTGTTATATAAACAAATTTTGATGTTTTTTAAGTCCTAGCTTAAGGATTTTGATTTGTTTTGCAATATTTGGATTGTGAATTGTTACTGGTCACTATTTCATAGTGTAGGTATTGTAAAGCATGATATCGGAAAATGAAACGCAGTTAGAGATGTCTGGTAACTCTTAGTCCTCAGTAGAACAGACACTAAAAGGAATGTTGAGCATTGTAAGAAAATATATAAAGACTTCATTTAGAGTTTATCATGCTAAAAATACATTGTTGTTATTATTATCCTGACTGAATTTAGATGGACAACAAAAAAAGTATAAACTACTTAACATTTATGGTGGTCAGGTTTTCCCTTATTTATTGATGCTAAGGTATTCTAGCAGCATATGTGATATCACACATTGATTTGAGACCACTACAGCTGAATTGTTCTAGCTATAATGGTTGTCATAGTGATTATAGCCATTGATTAATTATCAGCAACTTAACTTCCGTGACTTAGAAGATTTGAAGGGAAGATTTGAGAGAGATTAGTCTGATAGGTGTGCTTGAATATTAGAATGAGCAGAGGCTCAGTAAAAGAGGCTTCTCGCTTTTAAGGGTTTTCTCCTTTATATTCTAAATCAGAAGTTTAACAAAGAATGTGATAAAACTCTAAAAGAAGAGCTTTCCTATTCCAGTGGCCAACTTTGTGTGTAATCTTTTTTGTTGTACACAACTGTAAAAAAAGTTGGTGAATATAGAAAAACATGGAATTATTTCACTTTAACAGATAATGGAGCATCTTTCAAATGCTTGAAACCAGAGAGCACTCATCTTTAATGCAAGCTGGGGGAAATTGAAGAGGCTTATTCTTACAATTCATTCAAATTTAAAATATTTTTCCAAACATGCATTTTGTGATCAAACATGAAGATGTTAAATATTAAAAAGGTGACATAAATATTTAATATCTTATACAATATCTTCCAGTTAAATACTGCATTTATCAGAAGTGATTTTTCCTAAGGGGTGAAGTGTCACTTGTGCTTCTACCAATTGTGAGTAGCCCCAACTCTCACTGTTAAACAGTTGAAATCCATGTATTTAACTGCAGTCTATTGTACTCTGTGTGTGAATGTGTAGTAAATAAAAGGTATATTGTATCTATGATTGTGTGAAAAATTACTTGACCAGAGCTGAGCCTCCAGCTGAGAACTAATCTCTCCTTCCCCCATTGCTTATGCAAGAGACAGTTGTAACGCCAAAACCAAAGCTTAACAGTTACTTTTTTCCTAGGGAGCCACCATTTGAAATCAAGCCAGCAAGGCTTTCTTCTTTTTTTTTCCTTTTTTTTTTTTTTTTTTTCCTTTTTTAATGTTAGCTTCTCCCTAATGATGCTGTAGTTATTTTTAGGAAGCACTTATGAAACCTGTTGCCAGCTCTTGCAGCTTTTAAGTATAGTTTCTTCACTTGCTTTAGCTGATTTTATTTTTATTTCTTGGTTTATTTTGGAGCCAAAATGGGAGCTTTTAGAACTTAAGGTAAAATTCTGGGGTGGTTTTTGGTTTGTTTTTTTTTAATTTGAGTATTTTCAACAGAAATACATGTTTAAAAGGAAGTGATATAAAATTCAGATTTGATAAGCAATTGGTCCTTTGAAGTGCCTTAACTATAACTTAAGCATTTGTAAATCAGGTAGTAGGTACATGTTCGCTCTAGTGTTATGAAATACCAGCCATTTTTCTCTTGTAACTCAAAACACTGTATATCTGGATGTTATGTAAGGCAGATATTCAGTGCAGAAGTATATGGTTTTCCTTACAATGCAATAATCCAATTATGATGAGTTTAAAGTAAATATTTAAAAAATCACAAATTTATACTTAAAAATATAATACAGGAGAATCTTTAGCAGCACTTCTGTCAGAATACATGTTCAAGATGAACTAGTTCAGTGATAGAGAAGTCATATCCATTAATATACTATGTACTTTAAAGTACATACTGTTACATTAAGAATTTTTGGCTTCAAAAGGTAAATGGAAAGATATATCTCTGTATTTAATTGTATTATATCATTCTGGGTTAAGATCAGTTTCTTCCTATGTTCTACTCTTCTTGCAAATACCTCCTTGTAAAAGCAAGCACTTATTTTCCATTAATTAATCCTACCTTTTTTTCATTACTTTCTTAATTAACTACTTAATGTCAGCTTTGCCTGGAATTTATTTTAATGTTTCTGCCTTATTGTCTCTTACATTACATGTTATCTTAGTACAATAGCGAAATTATACATTTGTGGCTTCCCAGGATCCATTGGCACCTCCATATGGCACGAGATGCTGTGACTCTAAAGGAAATACCAACATTTGTTTTGAAGATAATTTTAGCTGACAAAGCTGATTTGTAAGGCAGAAAAAGCAAACAACAGGTTGTGTGTAGTAAGTCACAAATGGTCGTTGTTGCAAGCCTGTTTTTGCAATTATTATAGCTTGGCTATAGAGTACCAATTATGTTAAAACTCCAAAAAGTATAATGTTTCTTTATATCGTACACATTTCTGTAATACTTGTCAAATCCAAGAAGTGTTCTGAGTAATAGTAAGCCTCAAATTGGTAAATATTTAATTGTGTGTTGAGCTAGTCATACATTAGGTAATAGAAATAGCTTGTGCAAATTTTATCAGGTCCAAAGCCTTCATTTCTGTAAATGTGAGTTTGCAATTGATGGAATGGAGGATTCCAAATAATTGATCATTGATGTTCTTTTGCCTTTACAGGTGATCTTGTTGAAAGAATAACATAGGAGGATTAGCATAATATGTGTTAGTGGATTCAGAAGAGCAGGGAGAGACACGCATCATTTAGGTCTTACTGGAATTTCTGTTTATTGCTGTTATAAAGCAATACATTTCATGTCACATATGGTATTTTTTTTAATTATGTGGGGAGGGGATTAAAAACAGTTGAACAGGGATTTTGCTTGGGGAATTAAGTGAAAAGTTGTTTTCTTCATTTGTAACCATTGTTTCGGGCTCCTAAAATGACTTGCTTCATCATTCAGTTGTGTCAGCTTGTCAGAAGACGGACAGCTGGCAGCTTTGTTCACACGCTTGGTATATTTCAATATGCTCATTTCAAGAAGTATAAATGTTAATTACATCAGCTGTAGAAACAAGTTTCTTCATGTTGCACCTGACACATAGGCAAATATTATGAGGCAGGTGATTTCTTTTTAACTTTATTTAAATAGATTATAATGTTATCTTTTGCTCTCCAGACGATGATCATGAACAATAACAAAGACAGTAGTCTTTGTTTAGTGACATGGGCCTCTCCTGCTGCTTCAGGCATCTCTAAAAATTGATGGAACCCGATTATGGGTTTGTTAAAGTGGCTGGTCACAAAAACGCGTTGGCAGTGCATTAAAGTGGTTGAAATAATACGGAGCTCAGTAAGTGTTCCAAACTTAATTTTCTGGGCTCATTCTTGCAACTCAGATTCCTTTTGCAGCACCTGTTGTTGGTATATGGCACTCCACTATCAAATTGTGTCCTTTCCAAAGCTAGTGGTGCTTCTCCAAACTTCTCTGTTCCAAATCCACGCTTCCCAGAACTCCAGCTACACAATGAGTGCTCTGGGTTCATCATCATCTGAAAGCTGCTTTGAGGTTTAAAGGCAGGATACAGACAGTACATATAAGTCATTTCAAATATGGCGCACACAACTCAAAATTTATAGATTTACAGATAATAAAATCTCATTCGGAAACCTCTCTTCACCATTTTCACTGCTTCAGGAACTCTGTTTAGCTGTTCAAGGGTCTGAAGATGGTTTCATTTTTTCAAGTCTTGCCTCAATTTTTGAGCAGCAATTTCTTCTAAGAGCCCTCAGTGTTTACTTTCTGTTACTGCCCTTACTTGACTGCCCCATTCTAATACTACCCCTCTGCTTTTCCATGCATTGTTCCTTCATTAAAGGCAACTTTCTAAAGGTTTTGCAGGAAAAGCAGATGGAGGTTGGGGACGCGCTATCACAAGTGGCTTTTTCTAGGGCATTTCTGTTTGAATGAAATTTATGTAGACTTGCCTTGCATCTTTACTTGCTTTTCATTGTTAGCCATTTACTACTGACTGTTAATAATACTTTATTTTTTGTCCAGTCTCAAAAGCATGAAAAGCAGAGGCACAATGTAATTTAAATAAAAATAATTCTTCCAGAAAAAATGAAGTTTGCAGACTGATAAAGCTTTAACGAGACATCTCCTAGTCTCCTGCACATAGTAGGCATTGTATTTTGCTGGATATGTTTTGATAAAATATCACAGAACCCTGAAAGAAAAATACATGAATAGACCTGACTTACGGGATGAGTGTGATAACCATATTCTCTAAACCCCTCAAATGTATCTCTGTGGGCCAGTAGAGAAGATGAAAGAGCTGAGAAATGGCTTTCCCTTTTGAGAAGTAAACTCTGACAGTTTGTCCCTTAGAGCAAGCCAATACTGGGGATCTATCTGCATTACAATTATCTTGAATTAAATTATCATGATGTTACTCAGCTAATTTGAGGAAGTCTTTCACATGAATACACTATAGCCAAAAGACACTAATTGCGTTTCTTAGCTTTCTAGTGTCCCTCCTAAGGTGGTAGTTCATGAAGGGGGGGGAGCTGCAGAGAAGGAGAAAGAAGGGGAGTGAAAATCCCCAGGAAAATTACATTCAATCTGTTTATGACCCCAACATCTACTAAATTTCCAAAAGAGCTTTCTCTTCTGTTAACCATGTGAAAAGTGTAATGTTTGAGTCAGGTGAGGAAAGCAGTAGGAAGCAAGCAGAGCTGAAAGTAGAAGCTTATTGTGTACCCTGTACGTGTGCATTTCTGTTGCTGCTGTGCACTGTTGAGCTGGGTCGAGGGGTTGGTTATATTGTGGAGGTTGCATTAGCACCAATGGCAAGCTTGTGCTTTTTCTTCCTGGGGGAACTAAGGCTTGCCAACTTAAGGGAATTGGGGTTGATTGCAGTAGCTGGACTGCAGCTGCAAAGGGAGATGGAAGGTAATTTTTCCTGGGGATCTCATGCGTGGGTGAACCAGGGACTAAGGATAGGGAAGGGTTGACCAGAAGCAAGCTTGAAGGGTATGTGGGCCCTGGAGTTCAAAAAATATCTTGTGTAAACTCAGGTGAAGCATTTAAGTTAGGATTAAGCTGAACGGGCAAAACTAACTCTACAGGGATTTTTCATGGAGAATGACCAGTAAACACAATGCCACTTAGCTAGTTTGGGGGCAAGCCAGAGAGCAGAGAAAATGCACGTGTATGGAAAAGGGAAGGACTGATAGGAAAATCAACTATTAAATGATCAGATTAAAAGTTTGAGAACAGCAGCTTTATGGACAGTGGAGCTATAAACTACACAGATGTCTGCTATAAACTACACAGATGTCTGAGGCCATCGAAAGAGGGAGAAATTTTCTTCCCCTTCTGTTTGAAATTTTCAATAACTTGTGATTAAAACGAAACAACTGTTACTGATGAAAAGTGAGTAATTGTGCACTGAGGGGACAGGTGGAATTCAGTTGGATGTAGAGTGTGATACTGTTCAGGAATAATGGCTGGAGTGTACCATTGGGCACTTGCATCCTCAGACTTTCACAATTATAAATCTCAATTATTTATCAGGATTGATTCGTTGGACTGCATATTTTTCCTTGTCATTCTTAGCAATTGACTTTCAAATTTTTGTTCAAGTTGCTTCTAATGTGAATAATGCTTAATGACTGCAGAAATACTCTTGAACTTTAGCCAAAGCTACTATCATGCAAATTTCATTATGATCAGTGCCTGAAATAGTTTAAGAAAGAGTTTAACCTTTCTGGTTGGTTGTTTTTTCTAACATCCGAAATATTACAGAGCATCCTCTTACAAGATTATTTTGCCTTTCTAGTGATCTCGGATATGCTTACTTTACTGTTTTGAGGGTTATTCTATATTTAGTGTTTGCAGGATTTCATCTGAAAACAAATTGCTTTAAATATTACCATTTTACCTATTTCAGTCTTCTCCAGTTTCTCCAAACAGATGCATCATAGAGATTTATAATGAAGTTGTTACAAGGCATTTTGCGCATTCTTTTACCTCTCAAGGCTTTCCTGCATTTGCATGCTGGATTGTGCTGTCCTAGTAGGGAAGCTATAAATAGACCCTCTGATGCAGTGAGGCAGCTATGCCACAGTGGCCTTGGAAATCTCAGCTTTCACCTGTAACTCTGCATTCCCATTCCCACCGACCTCACTCTTGCAGTAGCAGGATGCAAAAGGGACATAAATGATTGATTGCTGCTGGTGGTGTCTAAAGTCTGAGTGTATTAAATTTGATGGAGCAATGAAGAATAGAGTAAGCTGTGAAGCTGCTCCTATCAAAAAGGGGTAGGGATATAATAATTACAGTTATTGCAGTACATTAGATTTTGGTTGTTTGCACAGGTGACTTTTCAATTGAAATTAATGTTATTACCAAAGTTAAATACTTTAAAAACCTTTTTTGTTCACAGAAGTTACTTTAACATTTTTAATCATTTAAGTTTATAAAGTACTTGTATGTATTAAAGTACTATAGAGTACGTGTTTACATTGTGAAAGATCTTTTGTTTTTTTACAGTGTGAAAAATTCAAACTATTGTCTCCCATCATATACTGCTTATAAGAATTATGATTATTCAGAGCCAGGAAGACACAATGAGCAGCCAGGCCTGTGTGGCCTGAGTAACTTGGGCAATACATGTTTCATGAACTCAGCAATTCAGGTACGTACGGTAGAATAAAATGAGCTTGTCTTATTACTTGGAAACTAATATCCTGTGATAGTTTGTCATGTTTGGAAACTAATATTAAGAGACTCCATTAACTAGCAGGATAGGATTAAAAGTGAGGAAATAATACATCTATATTGGTATACTAGAAAAGTTTATTTACATAGCTGCATTCATTGCTTTCCCTGTTTTTGCACAGTGATCAATGTCAGAAAGAGATTTGACCAGTGTTCTACATGAGTGAAGCCTTAAGTGGGATTCTTTGCTTTTTGTAATGATTACCGTGCATGAATGTCACGAAAAATGCTTTTTCATTTTGAGATGCACTTGAGTACAGATTGTAGTGCTGAAGTGTCAAAAAGTAGATGATCGGTGGATTACTGGGCCTTTACTTCTAACTAATTATCATGTACTTTTAGTGCGCAAGTTAACATGCAGGGAACCTTTGAACATACTTCCCTTTGACCTTTCCCCTTTGAATAGCTGCTATTTCATGGATGAGATATTTTACAGGAATTTAATAGCTTGTTTCTTTGCTATGATTGCAAGAGAAATACTAGTATACCTAGTATTACTCTTAGGAAGAAAAAAAAACTTAGTCCTTTTACTTTTCAGTGGAAGCTGCAGTGGTAGATTAATTAATGGCCAGAAAGAACTACTAGTTAAATTAAACTAGTAGTTAAGTTCTGGAACTCGTGTTTTATGTCATCAAAGCAGTCTTATGTCAAAACACTGTAAAGTGTATTTAAGTTCTCGTTCACACTCTTTTCCTGATGAGTATAAAGATACTAGATCTTAGCTAAGCGTACTTCAGAGTTAATCTCCTCCTTTGTCATTACAAGGGTTCCCAACTTACGTTTGTATTTCTTTGGGTGAAATAAAAATAAAATAATGTTGAAATCCTTCTTTAGCCTGTTCAGGAAAAAAGTAGTTTCAGATACATTTGTAAGCTAAGTTTTTGAAGTTGTTGAAATTTGTTCAAAAGATGAAGTATTCCAGAGTTTCATAGTCTGTGCAGATTTTCTATCCCTTCTTTGTATATAGAATCAGAGAATAATTTGCGTTAGAAGGGACCCTAGAACGATCATGGGTCCTGCCTTCTGTTTGTGTTCATTACACTAGTCCTGTCACTGTACACTTCTGAGAAGAGTCTGGCTCCACTTCTCTGTAGCCTCCCATTAGGTAGCTGCAGACAGCCACGAGCTCTCCCCTTAGTTTTGTCGTCTTCAGGTTGAACAAATGCATACAGCTCTCAGCCTTTCCCTGTATGTTGTTCTCCAGCCCCGTGACCATGTTGGTGGCCCTCCTCCATTCCTTCTTATACTGGGGAGCCCTAAACAGGACAGTGCTCCAGCAGGAGTTTCACAAGTGCCAAATAGAGGGGAAGATTTGCTTCCCTTTGCCTCTGGCTACTTATTGCTAATACAGCCCAGCTTGCAGTTGGCCACCTTTCCTACAGGGATGCACTGCTGGCTCTTCCACATTTCCACAGAAAAGGACCACTGCGTCATATTATGCAAAGCTGCTTTCTAGGCAGCCAGTCAGCCCCCAGCCTGTAGTGGTATATGGCGTTATTCCATGGTTATTCCATACTTACTTATATAAGGCACCCATAAAATTCAATTTATTCTTGTCTCTCAAAATGTTTTCATGAGGATACTTGAAGAGAAGTTGAACAGCGCAGGAAGTAATTCAAATTTTTTTTTAGCATACTGCACGAAAGATGGCTAAACTGAAAGGGGGAGGGACACACGTTTTGCAGCCTCCGTTCTAAATAAAAATGCTATATGTTATCTCTCTTGATTACTGAATTGCGTCATGATGCTATTATAAAGAAAAAAAGAAGAATATATTTTTGTCTAGTGTGTGAACCAGAATTGTCTTTTAAAAGTTGAATTAAAAGAATATTCTTAGTGCATAGTGAAATATTTTTTTATGATGCTACACTGTCCATCAGGCTAGGCTGATTAAAAACAAGGATAATTTTGATTACTTATTCAAACCTTTGTTAAACTGGTATACATGAATTTGCATATATGTAGATTTAAAAGTAACCTTTTAGGAGAGAATTATAAGCATGGGTTATTGCCTTTAGGAATCTTATACAGCTTAACAAACTTATTACAGTTCACATCAGTATCCCATTGTGTTAACTGGATTTAATTCTGAGGTCTGCATTCTAAATCATGTCAGCTTTGACTTCATTGCTTTTCAATTCTACCTAGGGAATCAAATGTTCAAATAAGTTCTGCGAAACTGTAGTGTAAATTGATAAATACAGTTTTGTTGATTCGCAAGACAGTGCTCTGGGTAAGAAAATTAGGTGTTTATTGAGCAGTGCAGCTTTTAGTTTGGCATGGTACCTTTAGTATGTCCTTGATAGTGTGTTTTTTCAAATGCATTATTTGGCAGCTTTCTTAGCAAGGAAGTATAAAGTAGCTTTCAGTTCCACCTACTATATCTCTCAGAGAAAGTATTGTTCAGAGTTTAATGTTATCTAAGAAATCCATGAAAGTGCTTTTTAGTGAAAGTATGATGTGTTTTTAACACACTGAGGTCTCGCAGACTGCAAGTTCTACTGTCTTCTTCCTCTTGCCACCACTTAACTTCTATCTTTTTTCCAATTACAATGAAAGCATATGTTTCACGGCACTGATTTGCCATTAATTTCATCTCCTACTGTTATTGGAGTAACATTGGATTATTCTGGCTAGAGGTGTTATGCCTATGTCAGTGGCCGAAGCACTCTGAACACATTTGATCTTGTGTAATCTTGGAAGCAACAAAGGGATTGGCCCGGATAATATGTGGATAGCAGACCAGGGAATTCTGCTTGGGAATATTGGGTGCTCTAGGCTTTGACCTGGATGATGGAGCAGAGTGCACCCTCGGCAAGATTAGAGATGACACAAATCTGGAAGGAGGGACTGATACACCAGATGGGGGTGCTGCCATTCAGAGGGACCTCAGCAGGCTGGAGAAATGGACAAACAGGAACCTCATGAAGTTCAATCAAAGGAAATGCAAAGGCCTGCACCTGGGGAGGAATAAGCCCAGGCACCAGTACACACTGGAGGGGTGGGAGGGGGCAGGTGACCAGATGGAAAGCAGCTTGGCAGAGAAGCACCTGGGGTCCTGCGGGACAAAAAGCTGAACATGAGCCAGCAATGGGTCATGTTGGGCCAACAACCTTGTGGGCTGCATTGAGAAGAGTATTGCCAGCAGGTCAAGGGAGGAGTGAACCCTGAAGTGCTGGGTTCGCTTCTGGGCTCCCCAGTGCCAGAGAGACAGGGATATACTGGAGCAAGTCCAGTGAGGGGCCACAACGATGATCAAGGGACTGCAGCATCTGGCCTACGTGGAGAGGCTGAGAGAGCTGGGACTGTTCAGCCTGGAGAAGGCTCCAGAGCGACCTTATCAACGTGTGGAAATACCCGATGGGGGAGAGTAAAGAAAACTGAGCCAATGTCTTCTCAGTGGTGCCCACTGAAAGGAGAAGAGGCAATGGGCACAAACTGAAGCACAGGCAATTCCATTTAAATATAAGAAATTTTGTTTTACAGTGGGGGTTATCAAACACTGGAATAGGTTTTCCAGGGAGTCTGTGGAGCCTCCATCCTTGGAGATGCCCAAAACCTGGCTGGACACAGTCCCAAGCAACCTGCTCTAGGTGACCCTTCTTTGAGCCGGGGATTGGACTAGCCAATCTCCAGAGGTGCCTTCCAACCTCAACTATTCTGTGATTCTCTGATCTGCTTTGGTTACCTACTCTACCTTATTTACCTTCTTAAGGTGTCTTCCTTCACAATTATGTCAATACAGGGTTGTTTATCAGGATAAATCTGTTTTCTTTAAACAAAATAGTTCACTATAGAGTTTTAGACTCTGAAATAGTTTCCAGTTCCATTCATGTTCTATTCCAAAAGCTCTGCTTTGATCCCTTCCATTCAGTCAGTGCTGAGTGTAATCAATGTAGCTTTCTTCAACAGAAGCAGTTTAGTTTACTCACTCTCCTGCTGATCTTCATCCTTCCCAGACAGCATTGAGGCCCCTTGGTGTTCACATAAGAGCCATTTCTGCTTCAGAAACCACTTCATTTCTCAGACAGCTTCTCTTTGCTCTCGTCTCATGTACAGTGAAGATGGTTTGCATCAGAACTGTTATCAGTGTTCCTTGAAGAAGAGGGCCAGTTCCTTGCACATCTTGCTGTCCAGAGTCTGACAAACTTGTCTGAAGGTTTTTGCCCTGTAACCATACTAGGTAGAAATGTGATAATCCTGGCAGTTTCTTAAATTTTGTTGCAAGTTCATTAATAGTTCTTCAATCTATATGTAAGGTTAGGCTTGCCACTTCATCCTTCTAAGTGATTACTGTGAAGAGACCTTTGGTTTTCCAAGTAGGGGCTTTCAGTGTTACAAAGCTCAAGACAACTAGAGGAGACGTGGTGAAGAGATGGGTAAGATCCTCTGTGGTACCACAAACAGCTGCAAGCTGGGTCGGGGTAAGGCCAAGAAGGTTAAGATACCATTGTATTTCTCCCAAGTGCTGTTGTCTTATCACTGTTTCTAATTTAAAAAAGCAATAATTCAATATTTTTTCATACTTTTGGTTGTATTGGAACTTTTCTTCTGTATAGATTTTTCAGATTCTTTTGAAGGGGTATTCCATGTATCTAATTTTAATTTACTTCAGTGCTAACACCTAAGGCTTGATTTTTATTATTAAGGCCTAAATTTCTGCTTTTGCACATCTGAGCATTAAATAAAACAGGAAAGACAAAAGGGAGCTTTTGGACTTTATGAAAACTTATTATTATATCAAGCAATTATATATTTCTTGATATTATATATATTAAGATATATACGTGAGGAAAAATGTATACGTGAGGAAAAATTTCTTTACCGAAAGGGTGGTTAAACATTGGAACAGGCTGCCCAGGGAAGTGGTTGAGTCACCGTC